GTTCGTATTTGTATATATACGTAATGTCTCAAAGCTTAGAGCCTCCACCACCCATACAATAGCTTCGCTTTGACACTTTACATATAAAACAATGAAGTTATAACACAAAAGATTTCCAAGTCCTTTTGCAATGGCAGTGATATAAGATCAGAAAAACAGCATAATGTAAGCTGTCCATAGAAAAAGAAAGCTGGTTATAGCAAATTTAAGCAAAATAACAGAAGGTTTATATTTGCATATGCATGTTTTAATATGCTTGAGGTAAACACTGATGCATGAAGTTTCTGCCTCGACGGCGAACACGTGTCTTTGGCTTGGCTCCCTGGTAGTATTCTGAGCCCCCAGAGGTTGCATAACCGATGCACAGTAACCACGGAAGCCTGGTGCTGAAACAAGATAACTTTGGCCATAAAAAAAAAAAAGATGAAGAATAAGAAGAAACTGGCAAATTAGTACTCGGCCGTCGCTATAGTATTGATGTTGTAACACAGCTATCTCTAATCAGGTTACTTGTGAAACAATCAAGAATATTGGAGTTGATATCAATGTTCTTGATGTCCTAGGGACTGCCAAGAAAAGGATTGTAGGATTTTGTCACTGGCTTGTTTCCTTTTCTCTCTTTGTATCCCGTTTGTAGTTGTTTATGGAGTAGCGTGGCCTTAAAATGCTGCTTGCAAACCACACAGCAACTTGCGTGCAGATATAGGTGCATCTGTGCAAAATTCAATTATTAGCTTTTTTGGGGGTTGGCAGGTTCCTCAAACAGGGAATGTGTCGGTCAAATTTTGGCAGGCCTGCAATATTCACTCGTATACTATGGCACGTAGCAGACGTTAAGTCACCAATTCTAAAGCTCAGTAATGGATTAAATATGCTTAGAAAGTGCAATTAAACGCATTTGTAGGCTGTGACACATGTGCGTGCCTAATGCAGACGCTCTCGTGGAGCTTGAGTACGAAGTGACAACAGTGCCGCCACTACTGTCGCTTGTCGGAGCATTACTCGAGGTGGTGTGCTGCGGCTTCCATTAATTTCACTGCCCCCTTCTATTACACTGTACCTATAGTCACCAGCTTGATCCATATGGGAACGACTGAAATGCTATGATTCTTCACTCATGTTTGTTCTTTACTGTTACATGTGACACTGTGTGCATTAGCCACTTGTCTTCAAAACTGCTTGGTCCCCATCCTTAATTGCATGGAAAGTGGCTGCGGGTTGACTGCAGCATTTGTGGCAAATACCAGTAATTTAATTTTTGCTCCATGAGCCATGTACTCGTTCACTCGAGAAAAGTCTGATTCACAATCCACGATGGGCTGTTGTTAACTTTGCTTACCAAAGCTACTTCATTTGTAGGTGGAATCTGCATCTAGTAATCAAGGTAGTCACTCAATGTACAGAGAGTAATTTAAACTCTTGTCATTATAAACACAACTTATACTGTATCAGAACAATGGCACCCACACTTATACAATTGTTGCATATACAGAGGTGCGACAGCTGTGCCAAAACCATGAAATTTGCCGAAAATTGCGTCATGCTGCATCGAAATGTCTGACCAGCCTCAAAAGTTTTCTCAGTTGTGCCTAATTTCAGTGAAAAATGGAGGTTACATTGGCCAACTGTAGTTAGTGTCATCAATCAATTCAGGGATTCAGGCGTGCAGACCATACTTGTGAAATGCGATTGACCAATGGTGAAATGCGATTGACCAGATGAAGTAACAAAGCCACACTACCATCTAGAGATCCGCTAACCAGAGTGGATCTCTATCGGCAGGACGACACAGCTTTAAGGCAAAAATGAGTTGCCATAGCCAGGAAGATTTTGTGAGAAATATGAATTTCCTTGTAAGCAAATGTGGCTATGGCATGTTAGGAACTAAAGCTGGAAGTGTATACTGCTGTTACTGCGCACGAACAAACTTGACGTGCTGGGAACGCCGGCGTTGCCAGCGACCACGTTAGTTGCCATAACAATGGTACATGCGATAGATATCCGGTGACTTTGCTGGGCCATCAGGAGCGTGCCAATTCTCCTTTATCTAGTCAAAGGCGCCTTGCAAGCGAGCTGAGTAGTTGTGCCCTAAGCCTAGACCCATCGTGAAAAAAACGGGGGGGGGGGTTGGGTAGGGGAGCTGTAGCAGTTAGAAAAGTTCTTGGCCTTGTTCTAACCAGTGCAGAATCACTCTTAGGCCACCTTCGCTGCAGTAGACTAGCAGTCTGTGGAAAAGCATCTTAAGATTTGGAAGGGGCTATAAGCACTATTCATGGAACGCAGCACAGTTTGTTCAGTTACTCAGGTGCGTGTATTCCACCTAATTATGAGTACTAGTATGATTTCTGATGTCTTAAAAAGTTACTGGCAATTATTTGGAGCACTGTATGACATTTCTTCAGCCTTAAGAAAAATCAAAACTGTGCATCTGTTTTTTTCTTTTTCTTTTTTGGTTAGCTGATAGTGCTGCAGGTGCACATACTTAATTGGTTTTGCGGGAGGAGAACCCTCCTTAGCCTGCAATCTGTCAATGTTATGCTGTGCCACATCTTCGATTAATAAACCCACTTTTGTCAACGCTACAGTCCAACCCACTTATAACAATCCCAGATATAACAATCTATCGGTTATTACGGCCATATTTTGGTGCACTTACAATTTTCCTATGCTACCCTTTGAAACTGAGTCCACATACAATGAACATTTTTCACTGCTTCCTACTTTTACAATGAATACTTCGGACGCGGTCGCCGTAAAAATATGGCACATACAAAGCGAAAAAAAGTGGTACACAGGCATTCTAAAGCGCTATATAGGGGCACACGCGAGCAGGGCACACGCGAGCAGGGCACACGCGAGCGAGCACCCCGCTGCTGTTTACTTGCGGCAAAGATATCGTAGACCACAGGATCACCGCACGCAGACTTAGGATGTTGCGAGCTAGGTCTCTCACTTTCCAGGACGTTTCTTCATCGGCAGAATGGAAGTGAGTAAAAAAGAAAAAAAGTCACAGGTTTGTCGCAAGGGCGAAGCAATGAATGCGACAGCGACAACTTGGAGTGTCACGCTGAGAACGGCAAGCAGATCGAAACGTGCAGCGCTCTGCTCATGCACAAATGACCCACGAGAACAACACACACAGGACGAGAGCCAACTAACAATGTTAACACCTTGACAATTAATGTACTCGTTAAACAAAAATGATGCACAAAACGTAATCACAGGTACAGATATGAGTGCAAACAAGTCTTCCAGCTGTTGCTTCCCTGTGTTTGAAAAGCGCGCTCTTTTCGCAAACAGGCCCTATGCAGAGACCGAAGTGACCTTTGTGGATCCAGCAACTAAAGCAATCGTTCCAGTGAAAGCTGAAGGCACGCGGTTTTCCCTACCAAAGGATAAGCGTGTGCGCACAAGCATCTACCCCCTCCCCCCATCTGTGACGCAAAGTATGTGTGAGAGATAAGCGCATGTCGGCGCATTGCGACGAGCCGGGCACAGAGTGCGGGCTGCTTTTTTTCTTGAGTGTTCATGTATATTGATACGTACACATATACAGTGAATGACAGTGGTGGTGGCAAAACCCAGCCGAGACTGTCTATATAATTGTTATCGCAATAAAAACGAAAAGAAAAAAATAGGAGGCAGCATGAAGAGTTGCGATCAGCTTTTGCACGCCAAACTTTTCTGACACCGTTCTCGGCATCTACGACCGCCAAAGATCAACCAACAATGCCTTCAATCGCAAGAAGACATAAATGCGAGAAGTGAAAACTCACTGTGACGCTCGACTCTTCGACGACACAATGCGCCACAAACGGTTTTTCATCTTTCAGTAACAGAAGAGATCGGTTGATCAATGCGCGAGGTTGCGGAAGTGCCTTAACGGATAAGCACCAGAAAAGAGAGATCGTGACGTAGCCGGTGGCAATGAGCAGGCCATTTTGACTCATCGCCGGCAACCTTATCACATCATCTGCAGATAGCTGCTCAGCGGAGTGACGGCGGTACAAGTGCGCCATGCTGCCGTTTGCAAGTTCGCTGGCACTGCGTCGTTCGAGGTTGCTTGTGCGCGTTGCTCGTAAAATTCTTTGTGTGTGTGTTTGTTAAACGAACAGGCTACTCACGGCACCCGAGCACGATCCGGAGTGCAGCAAGCGCGAAGAAAGCACAAATGCCCGCCTACATTAGACTGCAAGTGAGCTGGCATGCGACGGCGAGAACCGAGTAAGCAACATGCTGCACGCAGTCAGCCAGGGATGTTTAGTTCAACGTGGTGGTACCGTGCTACAGTGGATTGGCAAGAGTTGATTGGGAATTTGGCAGAATTCACTATGGAGCAAACGGGCGTTGTTTAACATGCGAAAAGGCTTATAATGCCCCTGTCACACATTGTGAGTGAGTGTACTAATGCTCAGGGAGTGTCATTCTGGTGGTTCACATTTTGAATAAAAATACACAGAAAAAAAAAACAGTTTGGCCACTGAGTGGATGTTTCTTTGGGCGGGTCTATATACAACGAACTATATACTTCGAGTTCATTCATAAATGGTTTCGACTTACATGTGGTGCCGTTTCTGCAACATGTCAGAGAGTCAACAAATTCAGTAGTAGCGCCCCTTGTGCATTACAGTGTAGAGTAAAATCTCATCCTTTCCCTCATTAGGAGTTGAAAACTGGACTCCTTTGTGACTGACCATAGTACCATATGAAGTAGTGGGCTTTTCGTGTCGACAAAGGGGACGCGAAAGATTAGCGAGCGTCGCGTATTTCTTGTCCCCTTTGGTCTTGTCAAAAGTGCGCTGCTACTTCACCATACGGTATGATGATCCTTTTTTCCTGATTGTGCTTATAGGATAAGCCTTGTGCAAACCTGTTTCCACAACTTGGAGCTGTTATGTTGCATTGGTTGGTAAACATTTATTTTGTTATTGCTGCTATTACTGCTACAGTGCCTCCTATATGTGCCAGCAGTTCTCACTGTTCGTTTTCTCTTTATGCAGGTAGACTGCCAGGAGCCTCACTCCATGACCTTGAAGTTTCGTTTGAGTCGCATTGAATGCCCATCTTTGGAACAATTTATGAATACATATTTACTTACAGAGAAGCCTGTGATTATAACCAAAGGGATGGACCACTGGCCTGCATTGTCGACACGACCATGGAGGTATGTACAGTGTAGACAGCTTACAATGCAATTCGTTGGTGTCCCAAATATTCATTGTAATCATAGCGCTGCACTATAGCTGGAAAAACGTTTTCAAAGGCTGCTCATGAGCAAACCTTGTCGACCAGGCAACTATGCATGCCTGAGAATCGAGACATGCAACTGGGATTTTGCATCCATATAAATTTACAAATGTTGACAGGTTAGCGCAGGGGTTCTCAACTATGGATGTATAGGGGACCTCTTGTGGACTGGTGCAAGTGATGGGGGACCCTTTGCAGCAGAGGGGAGGGAGGGGGGTACGTAGGTAAATTAACATAACTGGAGCGGGAAACAGGTGCCTTTATTGCTGCCAAAAACATCAAACAAACATGCCACATCACTTCTTTTTGGACAGTTCATCAATACGTGGCACAGTCACGCCTAAAGAAAAATGCTGGGTCAAGGTTTCGCGGATCATAGCAATGGCTTCGCAGACCCTAAGGGGTCCGCGGACCCCCATTTGAGAACCACTGGGTTAGCGTATAAGGAGTATCATTTCGGGTGCAATGAAAGTAAGAAAAAAAATTTTTGCACATCTTCAACTTAATTGTGGTAAACACTAATGCACAGCAGAGCAGAAGGACCAACTTCACTGACTTAATGTTGCAAACGGTGATGACATAAACATTAACGTCATACAATGTGTGCTGAGCACAGCTGTACATTACCTTCTGCCACGCACGACTCTGCCCTATTTCTTGTGGGGCTGCTGTTCCTTTTCACTCGCACCGCCTCTTCCTCTCTGTTTGACCACCTGGATGTCTCCAACCTATAACTTTCTACTGCTGCGCCATACTGTACCCTCCCTCTTTCCTTCTCTCCCTCATGTCACTCCTTACTATCACTTTCTTTTCCCACTCCTTGTTATGATGTACTCTGCATGGCTATACTGTCCCCTCCCTCCTCCTCACCATCACTTACCTTTCCCACCCACTTGCTACACACTCCGTTTAAGACCTATATAGGGGCGCTTGAAAACTGCGCCCAGCGCAACTTGTGGTGCCGCAGGCGCACTATGTTGAGAGCCTCAGCAGACAGTAGCGCCTCATTGCTTTGATAGCTATGGTGGCACAAGCACCCTTGGCTGCTGCGTTAATGATTCGAACAGGATTTGAAGATATCTTAGGGGGGAATTCTTCTGCGATGTCACCATGCATAAATGGAAGAACCCGCCCAAAAGCGGCCATGTTTTCCTTGTTAGTGAACGTTTTGATGCCCATCATAAGTACGGACGGCTGAATTCGTGCATCAGGTATGCGTAATGCAAGATGCTTACTTCATAACTGTCGTGGTAAGCTGTCATTTTTTTACTCTTAGAATATTGTCGGTACGTGCCCACTACCCGCATACTTACAAAGTATTCGGAGCATTTAGAAATATCAATCGCTCCATGGCCACTCGCCGTGGAAATCATGGTGAGTAGCCAGGCAGCATGCTTGTTTGTTCCAGCTTTGTGCCATGGCGATATTCAGCCACCGAGTCTCGCGAAATGTTTTGCTTGATATTGTCGTGGCATCATCATTGCTCATCATGATCATAGTCTTTACATCGCCGCTTGTGCAGCTCACGCTAAGAGCTTGAGGCACGGGTGAGAAAGAGGACGCGCTACGATTTCAACCGGAGAAGACACCGCAGCCCTGTTGCATCTTTCGCTTCACCTTGTAAAGTGGTGACGATGACAGCATCAGTCACTTTGGTGGTTGTCACGTCTCTCTCATTCACTACCTCTTGCGTTGTTTATGTTGCTTTCCGAAACACACTGCCATGCATATCCATCGTTACAGCATTCGCAAAGCTTCATTTTTTACCCTGTGGTTCTGCTTCTCTACGCCTTACATCATTTCTTCCTAGCATGCGGATTACTTACCAGTCAAAGAAAAAAAATTCTGGATGAATTACTACGAAGGACGGCATTCAGTTTATCACTTCCAGTGGTTCCTTCCGTCCGAGCTACAGCTCTGGGTTTTAGCCATGGGAGCGTTGGCGATGCTGTGTGCGATTTACTATGTGAGATGAAACAAATTGAATGCTAGGGTTATCTAAATCAAGCTTATTCTTCAGCAACAGTCTTTTTTTTTCCTTTTTTCTTCTGAATTAAGCTAATTAGTTATTTCGAGAAGTATCTGTTTCTGAACATCTTGAGATTATAAACAAATTCATTTATATAAGGCACCGCCCATTTCATGGCCGATCCCCCCATGGTAGGTTGCGCCAGTTTAATAAGGGTCAACCAGACAACCATTGTCTTAGCTTGATTCTTCTGAGTTTGCATAGCTCTGCTTGGCGGCTAGTTGTGTTTACAATAATATGCTACGTTACTCAGTATACCCCTTAACTGATAATCCTATCAACCCTACAAAGCACTAATTTACCTCACATTGCATTCCCCAAAACGGCAAAGGGTAGACAGCGAGTTATTAATTATTAAGGTCCATTAAAACGTTCCATCAGCCTTGAGCTGAAATAAAACGCCTTGTATACTTGTCTTTTCTCACGAGCTCTATGGCAGCAGGAACATTCGTTTTACCTGCACTTTGTTAACCAGTTCACAAGTGGCGCTGCATTTCGGCATTCGTTTCACGATTTCAACATGGCGGTGTCGACACCGTGGTATCCTCTTTGAAAAGGTGCAGCCATCTTGCAAGGTTAGTTCACAAGGCCCCTGCACCTGTTTATGAGGTAGTGTCGAGTGCGCGTGGTACAAGATGGCTGGAACCGCAGCAGACAACAAAGCTGACTGCATTTGTATTTATTCAGATGACATCAAACAAGTACGTCAGTGAGCATTTTTTAGTAGTTGCAAATGCCAGGCAACGTAGGCCTTGTCGACTTTATGAATCACGAACTCTGCTATCCATGAGACAACTGAGTGTAACAGCATGCTTGCACGAATACAGCACTCTTTGACGTATATGTTTCGGCATCATGTTGCTGCTGCACTTGCTGAAACGTTCCCTGCACAACAATGGCACCCAAACGACGCCACAATGAACCAGTTCTGGTAGTGCAGGGTGAATTAATTGACCTAACAGTTTTGTTGACTCTGCACCAAACTGCAACTGTGATTGCTTTCAGCCGCTACTCATGAAGCAGCTAGAGCTCATTAAGCCTAACCTGCAGCTTGGCACGCTGTCGTTGGAAGGCTGCATGGAGATTGGCTCTGAAAAGATCGCACACACGAACTGAACCCAGGGCGGCATGCGTGAAATTTTTCGGTTCATGGTCAGGTGATCGACTGCGTCAACTATCCTGCAAAAGTCATACGTCCATGGACTGGTAGCAAAGGTGAATGTTTGGGTCATAAAGCCATAAAGCTTCTGAATTGGTGGGAGCACCACTTATACGTGGTGTGTAATTATTAGCATGCACGTGATCTGCACTTTGAGATGATCTAGCTATTTGTTTGCCCGACTGCAAACTGATTAGAGACAGACATGGCCATGAGTTCCGTGCAAAGCGTGTGCAGCTGACAAGTGGCCAAAGAAACGACTTCTTTGTCACCTAGTAAACCACCCCTTTCCTATCCGCATGCCCTCAATGTGCTGTTGGCCTTATTCTTGTTTTTCTCGCCTCTCCTCGATCATTCTTTCTGCACCTCTTCCTTCGCATCACTGTTGCCACTTTCTTCTCGGCTAGCACACCTCTATTGAAACTCATGCTTGATGCAGCATATTTCGGCTGGGTGTTCTGGCAGCGCCATTATAATCTCTCAAGGAGGGGGGGGGAGGCGAGGCTACATTTTGTGGGTAGTACTCATTACAACCAATGAATAAACAAAATTTTTGATAAATTATGAGATAATAAATATTATCTGATAGTTCAGGCTCACTGAGACTCAAATTATTTGTAGTCTTGAGTTAACCAAGAACTACTGAATTATTCTTCATGTCAAACAGTGTGTGCACATGGCATGCTGTCATGGTTGTGCTGAGACACTGGCAGAAAGACTTGAGCTGACTCTGATTTGATAGCATTCATTCCATCTCTCGTCAAAAACTTCACTACAAGTTATATTTGTTTATACTTTGTCTCCATAGATGGTGGGACGCACTTACATTCTTATTTTTGTTTTTTTACAAGAGTCGTCACGCAAGTAGCAGGGAGCAATTTATAAGAGGCAACGAGTATACTGGGAATTGGCAGGACTTGTGCGAGTATTGTCACTTGAATTCTCAGGATCGACAGTGCAAGGGTAAACAACAGTGTAATTAGGTTGGCTTTCAGTATGACAGAAAATTTAGTTCGGCTAATGTTATTTTGTAGTGCTAAAGATAATGGGATGTTGTGCATGACTTCTAAAGGTAGAAAAAACATGTCTGTAGCTTGTGGTTAATGGTGTGTATGAGTTTTAACTCCCACAACTTTCTGCATCTTCTGGTGGTTAATCTTGGTGTAGGTATGAGCGAGCTGGTGAAGAATGTTCCACACTAAAAGCTCCCCGAAAGAGCTTTCTTTTCTTTTTTTTGTCTGTAATGTAAATGTAAATTGTAATCTTGTGATTTGCATAAAATAAACATGATTTCAATTCCAGTTTTGTATACCATTATTGACAATTTTTTTCTTTACCTTTTCACTCTTCTGCTCCTGCTTTTATTTCCTTTATATATTCCATAACAAGTGGTCTCATTGCAGTGTTTGCACTAAGGAGTCACTTTATGTTTGAAAATGAATCTGAATCACTAAATCACCCCCCTCCCCCCTGCTTCCCAATTTGTTGTGGTGCAGCTCCTGCCGTACTGACTTCATGCAACTTAGGCCCTCAGCCTAAAAAGGTTGCTGACCCCTGTACTAGAATGTAGAACAGCATAGAGCATAGCAGTATTAGTCAAAAGTGGAAAATGCAGTTCATTAAGTTCATCGGTATTTATGAAGTTTTCATTAAAAAAAGAAAACTGCGAGCTTTGTTTGCACTCTTGCTTTTATAGGGCAAGAAGTAATGAAGCTATCCTTAAAGTTTTACATTTTCGATGACTGCCTCTGGCTCAAATTGTTGCTGAGGCTTGTGACGAACTCTTCCAATTTCGGATGCACGCTGTAGTCTTGGCTGCAGTTAAAGGATTTTAATTGGCCTCTGCCTGCACTGCAGAGTGCAAAATTTATTTGAACTGATTTCAGCAGTGAGCCTAGATGTACTGATTCGCATTATCGCAAGCGTATTGAGAATGAGTGTCGCCGAGATCACCTTTGGTTGTTTGCATGAATAACTTCTTCGGCAGATTTCTTATATCCAAGGATTTACCGAAACGATTTGTGGCTATGTATTTTTACACCGTACATTTGCATATTGTATCCTAGAGCTTTTTGTGAACTGGTTCGGTCATTCTTGCATTTATTAACAAATTAAAATGTACATGTGTGACATAGACTGTCGCAACGGCGATGACATTTTGCAAATGAGCCACATTATAATTCAAACTCTTAAGATACCCCATGTTTTGATGAGGTTCTCAAAGCTAGAGCTACACATCAACAAGGCTCATGTGTTCATTTCAGAGCCCCTCTTGCAGCCACTAACTCCCTCTGTTGCGGCCGCCACTTATAGCATGCGGGAGGCGTCCCAACGCGGCGTGCTCGAAGGCAGCTTTTGTCTCTGCTGTGCCAGATCTCACGTGATCACAAAGGGTGGTAGCATGCTTTTGGCTGGGACAGTTGGCTGGAGCCTAGGCATCGCGACATCGCTACAACACACCTACATATATAGACCGCGCCTTTGTCTGTTTACAAACAAGTACTAGGTCTATAGGGAACATTATTTATAGCCTTTATACTAACTGTAATGTAGTACAGTTATATGTTTGAAGAAATGAAAGTGAATGAAAATACAACTTGCCGCCAGTAGGGACTTAACCTGCAATATTTGGATAACACGTCTGATGCTCTTCTACTTGAGCTATGGCAGTGGTAGTCCTCTCATCCAATTTATAGAATATTTCCGTGAAAGAACGCCTGGGACTGTCAGCCAGTGCTGCTCAGTCTTAGCCATGACAGCGAGTGTTGAACCTTTTTTTTTCCGGCAGATATTAGATTGCATGTAATCTTTTTATGCACTGGTAGCTGACCAATAAACCGTCGCATAGCACTTGGAGGCATTAAGTCTGCTGGAATGAGACCCTCGCTATGAGTGAATGAAAAAAGGGAAATGAATAGTTGCTTGTATTCTTTTGTTAGGCACAACCTAAAGAAATCTAACAGGCAAATAAGCCAAGGAATGTATAGGGAACATTGCTTGTAGTCTTTAGCCGTAGTTTGTCACAGAAACCATGGTCAAAACCCACAATTTCTTTGTCTGCTTTAACATTGCATGGATGCTAATTAGTTCTGTACAGATTAGAGGCTTCACTAAGCCCTTTCATACTTTTTCTCTCTTTTCGTAGCATAAAGCACCTTGTGAGTATTGTAGGTGGCCGCACTGTGCCTGTAGAGTTGGGGAATAAGTACACTGATGAGGACTGGTCACAGAAGCTCATGACCCTGGCATCTTTTGTCCGCACCTATATTCTGAAAGAGGACGTAAGAGCATGAATATTTCTCTATTCATACTAGCTTCTTTGTACCTAATTTTTTGAAAAAACAAGAAAAAAGAGAGTTGCATGTTGTACTATCAGCGTCAAATGAGACCCGAACAGCGGCAAGTCTTCGCGATGGTATAGTGTGTGCCATCCACAGCCGAAACGCTTTGCTGTGTATAGTAGTGGTAAAAGCGATGACTCTGATGGCGTGGGTGAGTACCGTCATTGCAAGAGGCCCAACGGTTGATACAGTTCCTCTGAGGCCTTGTTTTTATGAAAGACCTTCTGCTCACCTATCGTATGTAGAGCACTTATATGCTCTTGAGAAAGGTGTGCTCCTAGCTTCGCATAAAGCAACCAAAGTTGACAGACTTGCCTTTTATACAAACAAGTATAGTACATAGTTGCACTACCTTCCTTGCATGTAAATTAAATGTTCTGATATCTCTCATCCTTTTTTTTGTCTACCCACTTATAACAATTAGCGGTTATAACAATCAGATTTCCTTAGCACTTGGACATTGTTGTAAGTGGATCGCACTGTACTTGTTTATTGTGCTGCACATTGTTGTATACAGTTTGATAATAATAAGCATAAATGATTATGCAACCTGTGGTTAGAATGAAGGAGAGCTGTTTGCAGCATAGGGGGCCCTGATAACTTAAAACTCTCTACTTGTTGCGTGGCTGCACTCGCATAGCAGTGATAAAAATGCCTTTTGCACACGAAGAGTGTGTGGTCAATGGTATTTCACCTTCACACCTTTATTGTTGCCATTTGCCCTTCAGAAGGGGGTGTTACTGTTTCTTTCCTAGCAGCATGTCATTAGAAAGGATGAGCAATGGTGCTTAGATCCTAAGGGTATACGTTTGCCACATCATGGTCCATGACCTGACAGCTTTTCTACATTGAGCACAAGGGAAATGATGGGCAAGGAGCAGTTTGTGCACCTCTCTTCAGCTGTGATAGCTAAGGATCTGTAACCATCGATATTTTAAGAATATTAAAAGGGCCTTGAGACAATTTTGAACAAGTGTCATTGCAGTGCATGCAGCAAGAAATTCTTGTAAAAAAAAAAAAAAGCCTACTCCTTCTTTCACAATGTCACCCTAACATTCTGGGTGCATATCATATGCGTCTATTGTGGTGGTTCATGACAGTGATAAGTAGACGTAGCAATAATCACCTGTGCTGCTTGCAAAACATGCATTATCGCATAACCACCACCATCATTGTTGCCCTGTTGCCTTCTGAGCAGCAAGCACACTCGCTTAAATGCTGTAAATCAATACCACGCAGGACATTACAGAGCACTGCAATCACAGTGCACATATAGGAATGCAAGTGGGCATGTATGTTGTGAGGTGATTATTATTATTTTTTAAAATTTTGCGAGCATCTGTAGTCAGTAGAAAAAACTTATAGCTAAGATATAGAAAGTTACTAATTGTTGAATCGGAATGTTTTGCAAACTGATCTACAAGTTTCTGACTGGAAGTTTTTGCCAAGCTTTGTTCTTTCAGAAGTTGGTTGAATAAGCATGCTTAATAAAGCTGTTAAAGCAGTACGTGAAAAATAGTGTGACTTACTCCATGCAGTAGTTGGCAACATGCATTTCATTGCGTCATCATAGTGTGTCGGCATATTTTCAAACTCTGACTAGAGTTAGCTGGAGCACCCTGTAGTATATGTTTTCTTTACGTTCATACTTCTGTTTGTTTACTAATCCTCCAGTGTTCTTGTTTAGCAATGTAGGCACATGGGTGTCCAGGGCAAACTTTTATTCTGTCAACAGTTACATGGACACTTCTCGGCACATTTTTGCTGTTGCTGTCACCGTTTGTACTGTTTAAAGTCCAAATCGATAACATCGCACCGTGCATAATATGTTTTATGTGCAGTGAGTGTTGGGGATAAGTGCTGCTGAAGCACAGATGAAATGTGCTGGCGATTCCCATCGGAGGATGGCCGCATGCAAAAACGTAGCCCCATGTGCGAGACCTGCTGTGCGCGGCTCCTTAAGAAGAGAGGGAAACGCTAACCTCTCTCTTTTCAGGCAAGAGCATGAAGAGACGCTGGCTGTAGGGGTGGGGGGGGAAGTGTTGCTCAAGCAGCAACTACGAACTTTGATCAAAAGGGCAGAGTCGCAAATCCTATCTTCACAGACATTAATAGATAGCTCGTGTGCCCTTGTATGCGCTGTGCTCTCACAACTTACTTAGTGTTCAGGCAACAGACAGCATGAAAACCATTTTGCTCCTTGGCACAATCGTATATCCATAAACCAGTGCTTTGTAGAGTTACGTGAGATCAGATCCAAAAGAATTACCTGCTAGTCTTACCTTGTTTAAGATTCCAATTTGCTACTATCACCACTTTCACAAAACTGTGATTTTTTTTACTCATAGTATTTGTATTAATTGAATGTATATTTACCTTTGTTCGTAGGGCCCGGATGTAGGGTTGGGATACATGGCTCAGCATCAGCTATTTCATCAGGTGTGATTATCAAGTTTCTATGTTCCTCTCTCTGCTGGTGAACTGCTGACCAGTGTTGCCACATAGAATTTTCTTTGTATGCACAGTGCCATCCACTGTTGGAGTAAATGCGCGAGCGCGTGTCCGCACTCTGCGAAGCGCCACTGCCGCCAGCACAGCCGCGCATCGAACAAAAGCCTGCACAGGCGCGGCAGTGCCTGCAGGCGTGGCTTCGCGTCGTCTGCTACGATGCTCGCGCTCTTGTGCGCACTGAGCTTGCACTGCCCTGGAACAAACTTTAGTTACAATGTCACGTATTTTATGCAGCCCATGCAACTTTCCATTTCGCATCATTTCATTTTTTTCATTTCATTTTTATTCTTTAAAGACCATACTGAAGGGGTATTACATAAGAGGGGGGGGTGGGTACATACATGAAAGATAAATGCCATGTTTTAAGACATTGTAAAGTAATCTGTTAAAGTGGTCAAAAATGTGGAAGTACAGGTTATGGCTGTGATGTCATTGGAAAGGCCATTCCAGTCTGTTGCTGCACAAAAAAGGAATGAAGACGAAAAGGTGACGGTGTGGGCACGTGGGCGAGCAACTTGTTGCGAGTGACCGGTGTGACTGGAAATGCTTGTCAGGGGGGAGAATGTACAGTGGCTTACTGAGGGAGCTGTAATAAAACTTCTGAAAAAGGCAAATGCTAGCAGTGCGAGAGAAGATGCGAGTAATGATTAACTGGATTCTGTTTTCAGTGCCGATGTGCTGACGTCATATGAGTACTTGGAATGAATAAACCATGTAGCTCAATTTTGAAGATATTGTTGATCAGGGTTCCAAATGAGGGATGCATATTCTAATTTCTAAGATGTTCCAGACGCTAGGCCATCTTTATCAACTAATATACAATTGTCCCTTCGTGTACACGCAGAAACGTCTCTTCTAGAGCTGCTGTAGTTAACGAATACTTATGGCTTTTTCTCAAATTTTCAAGCTATCCGGCACTATAGATGAAAATAAATTACTTGATTTTCATGCATGTCTTGCGGCGAGAGGAGAAAGAGTAAAGTTACATCCAAAATAATAATGACGCCGAATCTCATTTGCTGCAAAATGAAAGAACGGAAACAAATGGGCGCATTTTCACGTCCTGTTGTATCGTTTTATTAGCAATGCGACGGCTTCCATTACATTTATGCTATCCCAGCAAGCGTACTTGTAGTCTCATTTCTGCAAGGATGTTGGTTTTGGAAATTCGTAAGATGGTGTTGCACTGTGATCACACTCGCACTTGTTGCAATAATGGTTGGGGTTTTACGTCCCTGAACGTCCTGTAACAATGTGATTAGAGGAACGTTGTCGTGGAGGGCCCAGGAATTTTCATCATTGGGCACCTGAACCCAAGTACACGGAAATGCAGGTTTTCACCCAAATGCGGCCAACATGGCCACGGTTCATTCGATCCGGCCGTTTGCTTTGCTGCGTCGACCTTCAGAGAACTTAAGCTAATGCTGGGGCTGTCGGCTGCATGCATTGAATACAACGGTGAACTGTCGCCTACATTCAGCGGCCTCAAAAACAGGAGAGCCGTCCAAAGGCCGATAGTGAGGGCGGTCAACAAAGAGAGGTGCCTAGTGTTTGCCCAAGAACATGAGCACTGGACTGACGAGTAGCAAAATGCCGTCTTAGCCGACGAGTCAACATTTACCACAAGGTGCGACTAAAGGCAGTGCGTGTGGCACTCAAACAACTGCCGGTGAGAAGCAGCTCACATGAGCCAAGAAATTAGTACATAGTATGTTTAGACCGAAATTTCATATGGCATCATGATCACGTTCACTGCTTTTAAGCTTAAGGCGCACAATGCAATCTCTCATTTAATGTGAAGTATAGGGATAATAAATATCACTCCAATTTGAAATGCAATGTTTACACAGCCAGGCCAGTAATCATTTTCAGAAGTAAGCATGGAGTACGACAGTACAACCAATGCTTTTATGAAATCGCATTCCTAGATTTTATCTTCGCTCAAAACTCAATTCTGCATATTACTCCAACATGTCTCATAGTGAAAAAGGGTGTTAAGAACCCGCAAACGAAGGCACAGATCATTTTGTGCTCCAAAAGGTGAAATACACTTCTTAAAATTTCAAAACGTTTAATGAGCGTGTTAATGCATATCAGAAAGTCCAAACAGATGTGCAATTTTGTATTGTTTTGTTTGTATAAGAAGGCGAAGCTCCACAGAAAACATCCTTTTTTTTTTTTTCCGATCTATGCCTGAATTTATCCATCGGGTAACAGCAGCCAGTGACCGTTCGTCTTTGAGTGCATGTCTGGGGCGCATTCCCACCGGCCGGCCGCGGAACCTGAATGAGCACAGAGAACAAGTTCACTGCTGACATGTGCTGCTCAGTTTTGGATGATGTCATGTCACCATGCCTTCTGAGCAGGCCATTCCCTGACAGCACTTTATTTTGCAGTTCGTCAAATTCCTCATTCAGAAGTCCAGAAAAGCTGGAGCATTACTGGAGTCTCAATATGTGGAAGTTCTTGGGTGGCGTGTGCAATCTCCAGACCTCAATAATATTGAGAACATGTGGAGCCCTATGAAAGCGTTGATGTTACACCGGTAGCTCCTTCGACTCACGGCGGATGCTCTATGGACCGCTGTAGAAAAGGAATGCGAGCGGTGTAAAGCCAACCGCAGCCTTTGCGCTACCTGTACAGCTTGCTAGGCAGGATGAAGGCTGTCATTTATGCTGCCGAAGACACCATCCGTTAGTGAAGAGAAAAAGTGCTCAAGGTCAAGTTTATCTCAAAGCCGCAATCCGCATTGATTTGGTGTCGCATAAAAGCAGCCCTGCAATTTTGCTCACCTTCATGCTGTGACGTCAACAAGGAGTATGTGCTGTGTCAGATAGCCTGATGTTTTAGCCATAAGAATTCTTGCCCATACTTTCGGTCTTCTCTTCTTTGTTTTATAAAGCTCCAATGTGTCATTTTACTGTTCACGTGAGAAAAAGGCGAGATGTTTGTGTCTACGAAACACGCAAATAAATATTCTTTTCAGTGAGCTGTATGCAAAACAGTTTCATTATAATTATTTATTTTTACATTTTAAAGTGAACAGTCCAACCGTTTTATATATTTTCGGATAACATCGCTCTCTCTATCAAACGCCTGTGATCCAGACCGTAAAATAATGGCCAAGGACTAACCCTCAACACGCTTCCTCTAAAAATTCACGCAAAATAATTGTACTCGCTAGACTCGTTAGAGCCAACACAGAAATGTCTGCGCTAAAGTTGTCTTGTGAAGTATTCTTAAGAAATGTAGAATTTGTTTCCACTTCTTACTAAAAATAACTATTTATTACCTTCAGTTCAAAGCTACGAAACTGCATTTTTTATAAGTATTTCTATAATGAAGTGCACTTACTTCACTAGCGTTTCTAATCTGGCGATCTCCAAGTTGTGATACTAAATCTAAAGGCTATTTGGCTGCCGGAAATACGTCACATCTTAAGTAAAGTTCGTTTCACGGCAGTGCAAGCTCGACGCACCAAGAGCGCAAGCATTGTAGCAGATGACGCGAAGCCGCGCATGCAGGCACTACCGTGCCGGCTCAGGTTTGCTTCAATGCGCAGCCGCGCTGGCAGCAGTGGCGTGCCGTGGAGCACGGCCACTGCTCACGCGGTCACCCTAACAGTGGCCGGCGCTGTACCATGCGCTTTTAAAGACAGGCAATGTTAATGAACCTTTATAGAAGACTCATCGCACCCGCTTAGATTTGGGGCCGTTGTTTATCAGTCTGCCGACTTCAAAGTGCTTGAAGATGCCTGGACCCCGTGCACCATTTGGGGCATCCGCTTTTCTACGGTTTGCTTTTCGCACCAGGCCCCGTAGAAAGCCTTATGTTGAGTCAAATGAGTGGTCGCTTCATATGCAGAGAACTTACATGTCCTTTGTTTATTTCCTGAGGTGAAAGCAGACAAGAAGCACCCCTCATACTCTACTATTAATGATTTGTCGAGCCCAATTCTGTTTCAAAACAGGCCTTCGATGAGGCAGCCCTTCTCAGTTCGCCTGAAGAGTCTAGCTGAGGAAACTGGAGTCTCACTTGAACACAGTTTAATGGCTCCTGTAGCATACCCGCCACCGTGGCAATGGCAGACTATAGACTGGGATGTGTCTTTCCTAGAAGTTACAAAACATGCGCCTATTGCCCATATCCGAACATACTTCCTGGAACTTCAACACAAATACACACATCCTGAGTTCTTTACAGATGCCTCCAAGTCTAACTCCTCTGTGTCCTACGCTGCTGTCGGCCCATCCTTTTCGGATGCTGTCCCTCTACATCCAGGCACAAGTATCTTCACAGCGGAAGCTTATGCAATACTTGTGGCGGCTAAACACATCAAGCAATTACAAATACAAAAGGCAGTAATTTATACGGACTCCCTCAGTGTGGTAACGGCTCTGCTCACTCTTAAAAAACACAAAAACCCAGTCCTTGTCTCACTTTACTCCATTTTGTGCACACTCTACACACTCAAACAACATGTTGTAGTGTGCTGGGTGCCAGGGCACCGTGAGATTCAAGGCAACGTGAGGGCGGATCAGCTCGCTGCATCCGTCCACAAAAGCACTGCCCCTACACCCATATCAATCCCGGCCCTTGATCTTAAGCCGTCTCTCAAACGAAACCTCAGGGACTACTGGCAGAGCGAGTGGAATACACACACACAAAACAAACTACACATTATTAAGCCACACCTTGGTCATTGGCTGCCCGTATCGAAATCGCGTCATACAGAGGTAATACTAACGAGACTCAGGATAGGACACACATACACGACACACACATATCTTTTGTCTGGTGGCGATCCACCATTGTGTGACAGATATGGTGAAGCATTAACAGTCCTTCACATGTTAATCCAGTGCAAACACTTAGAAACTCTAAGAAAACAACATTTTCCATTACCCTACCGACAACATATACCTTTA